TCTTACCCTCCCACTCCAGCTCGTGCGAGCTGTCTGGCAGTGTTCCCGTCTCGCTGCCTGAAGGTGTCTCCAGAGCCTCCAGGTCGATGTTGAGAGACAGTATCTCGTCTGGCGTGGCTGACAGTGCGGCGGCAGAGAAGCCATCGTTGCTCGGGTGAGAGTCTTTGCGGCTCAGATTGAGGCTGAGCGACGGGGCCACCAGACGCTTCTTAGCCCCGCCTCCTGATAGTGCCAGGCTGGTGGGTGGGGCTGATGGAAGAAGAGGGGCAGGACATGTGACAGGGTCAGAGGTCACTGAGAGGTGGATCATTCTCTGCTTCTTCATACAAAGAAAAAATCATTAGAAACAAAATCAAATGTTTTCAGGGTCACCTGGCTGCTCGCCGCCTGTCGGACTCTCTGACCCCCCCGGACTCCCACAATCCTCTGGGAGGGGCCTGAAACCAGAAGCCAACACAGCATTAGATTCATATAGTTTTGATGGGTCATTACACAGATTTTACACATTAACCTGCTGAAACAAAAAAAGCAGAGAGATGATGCTGGTGCTCAAGGGCGACATCTGCTGGATCAAAAAGTTTAATATTCTAATGTAATGTGTTTAAGGTGGAAGGTGGAGAGAAACCTTGGGAAGCCATCATCCTGCCACTCCTCCCTCAGCTCCAGGTCCTGGATGTTGGAGAGGTCTGAGGCCCCCACAGGAGCCCTGCAGGGACAAAAACAGAATAAAAAAGAGGCTGCTGAGTAAAGAGTCCATCAGTATTAACTCATCCATTCACACACTGATGGTAGAGGCCGCTGAGTAAAGAGTCCGTCAGTATTAACTCATCCATTCACACACTGATGGTAGAGGCCGCTGAGTAAAGAGTCCATCAGTATTAACTCATCCATTCACACACTGATGGTAGAGGCCGCTGAGTAAAGAGTCCGTCAGTATTAACTCATCCATTCACACACTGATGGTAGAGGCCGCTGAGTAAAGAGTCCGTCAGTATTAACTCATCCATTCACACACTGATGGTAGAGGCCGCTGAGTAAAGAGTCCGTCAGTATTAACTCATCCATTCACACACTGATGGTAGAGGCCGCTGAGTAAAGAGTCCATCAGTATTAACTCATCCATTCACACACTGATGGTAGAGGCTGCTGAGTAAAGAGTCCATCAGTATTAACTCATCCATTCGCACACATTCACACACTGATGGTAGAGGCCGCTGAGTAAAGAGTCCGTCAGTATTAACTCATCCATTCGCACACATTCACACACTGATGGTAGAGGCCGCTGAGTAAAGAGTCCGTCAGTATTAACTCATCCATTCACACACTGATGGTAGAGGCCGCTGAGTAAATAGTCCGTCAGTATTAACTCATCCATTCACACACATTCACACACTGATGGTAGAGGCCGCTGAGTAAAGAATCCGTCAGTATTAACTCATCCATTCGCACACATTCACACACTGATGGTAGAGGCCGCTGAGTAAAGAGTCCGTCAGTATTAACTCATCCATTCGCACACATTCACACACTGATGGTAGAGGCCGCTGAGTAAAGAGTCCGTCAGTATTAACTCATCCATTCGCACACATTCACACACTGATGGTAGAGGCCGCTGAGTAAAGAGTCCGTCAGTATTAACTCATCCATTCGCACACTGATGGTAGAGGCCGCTGAGTAAAGAGTCTGTCAGTATTAACTCATCCATTCATACACATTCACACACTGATGGTAGAGGCCGCTGAGTAAAGAGTCCGCCAGTATTAACTCATCCATTCATACACTGATGGTAGAGGCCGCTGAGTAAAGAGTCCGTCAGTATTAACTCATCCATTCATACACATTCATACACTGATGAAGCAGCAGGAGCAACTTGGGGTTAAGTGTCTTGCTCAAGGACATATTGGAACATGTGGCTGCAGGAGCTGGGATTGAACCCCCGACCTTCCGGTTGAGAGATGACTGACTCTCCCACTGAGCCACAGCAGCCCAGCTCTGTCTGATAGACTGCTTAATACTAACTCTTTTAATAAACACTAACAGATTACGACACCTGTGAGGACACTGCAGTCCTTTACACTCAAACACACACACACGTTATGATGTCTTGTATTTTGGCCATTTTAAGTTTCTTCCTGATCTTCCTGTTAAATTGAAATCCTCAGGTCAGGTGACTGTCACCTGTCACCTTACCGGCAGGTAACCCTCATGAGACTAAACAAACCTGCCGGACTACTCTGATTTTGACTCTTCACAGACACTCACCTGAGCAGGTGAGGGAGGCGGGGCTCCATTGTTCCTGTTTGTTGTTACTGAAGCAGAAGGCTAACACACCCACACAGGTGACCACACCTGTGAGTGTGTGTATGTGTGTACATGTAGGTGTGTGTATGTGTAGATATGTAGGTAGGATGTCATCCTTTAGGTTTGGGATTATGTTTCCTCTTCGGTGCCTTCAGGGTTCAACTGGGAAAATCCAGAACTCAGCAGGTTTCTGTGTTCCCCTTGAACTCTGTCAGGTGTTCTCACCTGTCCAGGTGAAGGTTCTTCTGTTAAGTAGGATGACACATCCTGAAGATGTTTCAGAAGAGCATGAAGGTTTTTTTTCTGGGAGTCCAGGAGCTTCAACTCTCCATGATACTCAATGACATTCAGTGTGTTTAGAGGTGCAGTGTGTGTTTAGAGGTGCAGTGTGTGTTCAGAGGTGCAGTGTGTGTTGAGGAGGTGCAGTGTGTGTTGAGGAGGTTCAGTGTGTTTAGAGGTGCAGTGTGTGTTGAGGAGGTGCAGTGTGTGTTTAGAGGTGCAGTGTGTGTTGAGGAGGTGCAGTGTGTGTTGAGGAGGTTCAGTGTGTGTTTAGAGGTGCAGTGTGTGTTGAGGAGGTTCAGTGTGTGTTGAGGAGGTGCAGTGTGTGTTGAGGAGGTTCAGTGTGTGTTGAGGAGGTGCAGTGTGTGTTGAGGAGGTTCAGTGTGTGTTTAGAGGTGCAGTGTGTGTTGAGGAGGTGCAGTGTGTGTTTAGAGGTGCAGTGTGTGTTGATGAGGTGCAGTGTGTGTTCAGAGGTACAGTGTGTTGAAGAGGTGCAGTGTGTGTTTAGAGGTGCAGTGTGTTGATGAGGTGCAGTGTGTGTTCATGAGGTGCAGTGTGTTGATGAGGTGCAGTGTGTGTTGATGAGGTGCAGTGTGTGTTCATGAGGTGCAGTGTGTGTTCATGAGGTGCAGTGTGTTCATGAGGTGCAGTATGTGTTCATGAGGTGCAGTATGTGTTCATGAGGTGCAGTGTGTGTTTAGAGGTGCAGTGTGTTGAGAAGGTGCAGTGTGTGTTGAGGAGGTGCAGTGTGTTGAAGAGGTGCAGTGTGTTGAGGAGGTGCAGTGTGTTAATGAGGTTCAGTGTGTGTTGAGGAGGTGCAGTGTGTGTTGTGAAGGTGCAGTGTGTGTTGAGGAGGTGCAGTGTGTGTTGAGGAGGTGCAGTGTGTGTTGAGGAGGTGCAGTGTGTTGAGGAGGTGCAGTGTGTTGAGGAGGTGCAGTGTGTTGAGGAGGTGCAGTGTGTTGAGGAGGTGCAGTGTGTGTTGATGAGGTGCAGTGTGTGTTGATGAGGTGCAGTGTGTGTTCATCAGGTGCAGTGTGTTCATGAGGTGCAGTATGTGTTCATGAGGTGCAGTGTGTGTTTAGAGGTGCAGTGTGTGTTCAGAGGTACAGTGTGTTGAGGAGGTGCAGTATGTTGAGGAGGTGCAGTGTGTTGAGGAGGTGCAGTGTGTTGAGGAGGTGCAGTGTGTTGAGGAGGTGCAGTGTGTTGAGGAGGTGCAGTGTGTTGAGGAGGTGCAGTGTGTTGAGGAGGTGCAGTGTGTGTTGAGGAGGTGCAGTGTGTGTTGAGGAGGTGCAGTGTGTGTTCGTGTGGATCCACAGGTGTTTGAAGAGGATCTACAGGTGTTTGAAGAGAATCCACAGGTGTTTGAAGAGGATCTACAGGTGTTTGAAGAGAATCCACAGGTGTTTGAAGAGAATCCACAGGTGTTTGAAGAGGATCTACAGGTGTTTGAAGAGAATCCACAGGTGTTTGAAGAGAATCCACAGGTGTTTGAAGAGAATCCACAGGTGTTTGAAGAGAATCCACAGGTGTTTGAAGAGGACCCAGAGTAATGAGCGGTGTTATTTCTTCTGCAGATTTAACGGTTTTGTCAGGATTTCCAAAATCATTGAATTTCTTCATGAGGTGATTGAGGAGGTTCCAGGAGTGCTTGAGGAGGCAGTGGGGGAGCTGTGGTGTTCTCAGGAGGTTCCCTGATCAGGAACACTCTAACCCCTCACAGCAGACATTAAGTCAGCTGACTCACTTCAAGCTCTCTTCACTGACGGCCTGGAAAAACGAACACTGGGACCAAAAAACACAAACCGCAACTACACTTCCTCTTTGTGCTGGAACAGGAAACAAACACACACACACACACTGAAACACACACACTTACAGACACACACTTTGAAGGGTCTTGCTGTTTTTGTATGTGTGTGTGCTCTGCATACCTGTTGTCTGTGTGTCCAGCGGAGGAGCTCATGATGTCAGTGATGTCACGCCGTGTTCTGACCAGCAGGTGTGGACAGCTGGACGTTGCTCGCTCTCTGAGTCTTTCTCCTTCCTCTCTCTCTCTCCCTCCCTCTCTCTGTGGGAGTTCCCACTCTCATTCAATGAGACTCGCCCTCTCTCTCTCTGCCCGACAGGTTCAGCTGCATTTCAGAGCAGAGCTGCTGTCTGATTGGCTGCTGGCCCCTGCTCTGTGCAGACAGGTGAGGCAGCAGGTGAGCTTCACTGTGACTTCATTAACATCAACCAATCAGCTGTCAGGATGTCTAAAGCAGCAGGTGTCAGGTGTCCTCATCTGTTGCTCCTGAAACTTCCTGTTGCTGCTAACGCATCACTTCCTCTTTCCGTTTCACAATAAAAGCCTCTAGAGGTTCAGTCTACACTTATTGTGAAACATGAACAGAAAGTGAAAAGTGAGGGACTCAGAGGGATTTCTTTCAAATTTTTTTTATTTAAATTGTTTCAGACAAATCTTCAGCGGGTCAAAAGCTTTGAAGGTTCAGTTTCACCTGCTCACATTCTCACCTGGCTGCAGTGATGTCATCGTGTGATATGGTGACATCACTGCAGCTCACAGGTGCACACAGCTCATCACATGATTCTCGCAGGTGTCAGGGTTCACAGATCCAGATGTGGGCGGGGCCACAGAGTGAGCCTGAGCTCACCTGGATTCTGTTGATTGTTTACAAACACCAGAGCAGAAACTGAACAGGGTTTGGTTTACAGAGTCTTCATCACACACTCCCACATCAGGACCAGACCCAATGCAGCTTTCACTGATTCTCATCTCACACAGACTAAAGGGTTCCATCCAATCAGAAATCAGTCAGAGAGCTGACAAACAAATCAATTATTTATCTCTAAACTTTATTTAAAAATTGTCTGAGAAGAAGTTAGGAGGGAGAATCACCTGAGACGGTTTTGACTGGTTTCAGATTCTGTATTGTGATCATGATCCTTTTTTTTGTCTCTTTAAAGAACAAACAACTCTTACTGCTCAGGTGTAGAGAAGCTTTAAAGAGAACTCTGTCATATAAACTAAAGTCATAAAAGAATCATCATAGCTGCAGACTGTGGTGCCCCCGTGTGGCAGTAGGCTGTTAGGATTGTCTCACTGACTGGCACACTAACGTGTTACTGGAGAGAAGCTCCTCCCACTTTGACAGTGTGCCGCAGTTTGCTGCGATTTCTGATCATTAAAAACAATAAAAGATTCAACATTGAGATCTTCTATTGTTGTTGCCGTGGTAACAAACAGGTATCAACATTAATTTGACTAGAATCATGTGGAACTTTGAAATTCTGACGACCTTAATACACTCAGACTTTATTTTGAAGGGCAGACTTCCTGCTGAAGTTCCTTCAGATGTTTCCAGATGTTCGTCATCACTTCTTTAGATCACTTTTAATTGATGAAATATTCATAAAGGGACTTTAACCTGAACCTGTGACATCATTAGAGGTTTATCCACCTCCTGTTAGTGGTACCTTCATCATCATCATCAGATCAGCTGACAGACAGACAGAGCGTGCTCAGAGTGTCCTGATGATTGACAGCTGGCAGGTCAGAGGTTAGTGTGCTCCTCTGGCGCCCATCTTGCTGAACTTCTCCTCGAGGTCGTGGGCGCTGATGTGCGGCAGGCCGTCATCCAATGGACAGCCCTCCACAAGACTGTTCATCGGGGTGGGAGGGACCTGAGACTCCTCCTCCTCATCCTCCATGTCTCCTAGGTGACCGTGTCCGTCCCGCCCTTTCAGGAAGTCTTTGACGATGGGGAGGAGCTTCTTACGAGAGGCCAGAGAGTTTCCTTTAAAAAGAGTCAGAAGACAAAGATTCAACCATTAAATTAAACATTCAGACAAAGTTTATTTTGATCTCTTGTCAGTTCAAATGTTTAAGGACTAAAACTGGAACAAAGCGCCGCGGAGAAGCGATCTGAAACGGCATTTGTGAGCGCTGCCAGCACAAAGTGTGCCGTTAACACAGAGCTGAGAAATGTTTTAACAAGAAGGTTGTCTGTCTACAGCTGCTAACCTCTCATGTTTCCATGGTTACAAGTCGTATGATGAGGTTGATGGTTTGAATCTACCTAAAGTTTGTGACTGCAGTTTAAGAGGGGTAGGAGCTTACCCTGCTCATATGCTGTGATGTGAGGATGGGGGCTGCTGATTGGACAGAGGTTGAGGGCAGGGTTACGGGCCCGCTCCAGGTAGCTGCTCACCTGAGTAGGGAGGACACCAGAGTAGTCATGGCAACTTAAAAATCATGTAAAACAACATCTGAGAGATCAGAAGAAAGTGTGTGTGTCAGTTTGTATGTGTATGCAGTGTGTGTGTATTCAGTGTACCTGATGCCTGCAGGTGTTGTTGTGGCTGAACACAGCGAGCTCCCTGATTGGCTCTTTGCTCTCATTAAAGGAGATCGTCATCAGCAGCAGCAGGTCAAAGCCGAATTTCAGACAGAAATCTGAGAGCTCTGCCTCTAGCCCCGCCCTCTGCAGGAAGTCCTGACATACACATGAACACAAACAGCCTGTCAGCTCTCCGTCTCCCTCTACTGGCAGATTGACAGAATACTTCAATCTACTGTAATGGATCTATAATACTCGGAAGTACAGTGTGTAATACAGTGTGTAATACAGTGTGTAGTACAGTGTGTAATACAGTGTGTAGTACAGTGTGTAATCCAGTATGTAGTAAAGTGTGTAATACAGTGTGTAGTACAGTGTGTAATCCAGTATGTAGTAAAGTGTGTATTACAGTGTGTAGTACAGTGTGTAATATAGTTTGTATTACAGTGTGTAGTACAGTGTGTAATATAGTTTGTATTACAGTGTGTAGTACAATGAGTATTGCAGTGAGTAGTACAGTGTGTAATACAGTATGTAATAAAGTGTGTAGTACAGTGTGTAGTACAACGAGTAATACAGC